TGCCACGCTGCTTTCCGGTTCGGATTATCGTGTAGATCTGCTTTTCATTCCCTATCACAGTCCAGGTGTCTGTCACAAGAAAATGTGTCCATTTGTCTTCCTCGAGGTTTCTTCTGCGCACCTTCAGGCGTACTTCGAGGTGCTTTCCAACAGCGGTGAAGGACCCTTTTTCTAGCCTTCCTATCTTCCCCCTCGCGTGCAAGAATCTCGAAATGGTCGCACGATTGACGTTCAGCCCCATTACCAGCTCTTTTCAGATGTGGGCTGGATTTTCATCCAACAATCCAACTGCGAATCCTAAATTTGTTTTTCCGACTGGCCTAGGCGTTGTCTGCTTTTCAAGTCGAAATCTCGAAATTGAGAATCGTTGATACCATTTTCTGCAAGTTCGCTGAGATGGAGCTTGACCTCCGTAAGTGTCGAGAAGCATCCGGTGGGCTTCACTGGCAGTTTTCTAGAAATCGAACAGCAGAAGGGCCCGCCGGAAAACGACTTATAACGTTCCATATTCAATCAAATCGAGAGCAGTGGGGTTTGGTGGAAAATTGATCTGTCTGCTTTGAGTAGGTGGACAACACCCTTTCTACAAAATATGACAGTTTCACGTACACGACTACAACAAGTTCGCGCAACGGCACTTTAAATTCGGCGGCGGAATCACACACCTAATATAAGAGAAAAGAATAAAGTTTCCGGCGTTAACCAATCCCGTCTTAGGGTGCGCCCCCGCACCCGACTTCCATTCAAAATCGTAGTGGCGTAACAAGTGCGTATGTGGCCTATAACTTGCGATGGCCAGCCGGAAGTGTACACGTCAGTGCTTTTATCCTCCGAGACTGGTCTAGAACCAACTAGCCGACCCCGGAACAGTGGAAGGCTTGGTTGGCGTAAGCGGATATCGATCGATTAGAATTCGAACCCATGACTATGCCTGTGTGAAGTGCGCCACATGCCACTATACACCTCCGCCCTCTAAATATACGTGCGTGTGTCGTCTGCGTGTTTGACAGAAAATCCTGATCCCGTAGACCAGAGCATTCAAACTTGGTAGGGGTACAGGAGGATGGGGACACTCTTGGCAGATAACAGGACTAGACTCTTCCCACCAGGGACGGGACATGCACGAAATATTTGACTGTGAATTGTTAATTCCTGTTTCCGTGGACCGATAGCATCCCATTTGGTAGCTGTACAGGCGGCAGTATGGGAACACGGAGACATTGACAATAGGTGATAAGAAGTTATAACAATTGGTAGGAGCTGATAAGGAGCCAGAATGTGAGGGAAGCCGGAATCCGTTACCTTCTCCGTTTCACGGTGAAGCCTTGGGCACTTTAGTAGGGGTGTGGATTAAGAAGAGACCGTAGATGATTGATGATAAGGACTGATAACAACTGTTAAGGACTGATAACGAGCCATAGAAAGCAAAGCCACTAGATTTATAACGCCCTTCGTATAAACAGTGGAGGTTTGACACCTCAACATGTGGTGTGGAATGTGAAGGGACTGAAGGTTATTGGTGAGAATAACAGAGAACTATAGGATATAGGATGGCGCAGACCCATAGAAGGCTAGAGCCACTAGGTCTGTAACGTCCTTCGTGTTAATAGTGAAACCTTTGCATTTCAATAGATGATAAAATGTGACAAGTTCGTAGGGACCCATAAAGAACTTATAACAACTGAAAAGAGCTAATACGGGCTTCAGTGAGCAAGAGCTACTTACCAATAAAATCCCCGCACCTGTGATATCCATGATCTAGCTTTCACTGATATATTTCATTCGATAAGACGGGCAAGCGCAGCGTTAAGGACCTATTGAGCGCATCTTTAATACGAGATAAAAATTTGGTTCGCTTCCTGCTACTAACTGCTAACCAGCAAGGTTTTTGACTCCACAAAGGATCATGGTTCCTGCTTAATTCGATATCATTTTTGATAAACCCATCCGGCAGCCAATAAATTGAGTTTTTCAAATAAGGAAGCTCTATTGATGACGAACTTTGATAATGATGTTATGATCACTCGGCAAAATTTGTGAGTACCTCCCAATGTTTTGTGGGCGGAGGTGGTGTAGTGGCAAGTGGCGCACTATATAACACGCACGGTAAGGGGCTCGAATCCCGGATTTCAGAATATCAGTAACT